CATATTACCATTTCATCTCCAGCCTGTCAATTTTAATTGAATCACTACAAGTTACCGATCTTCGACCCCATAGTGCAGTTTGTGTCCAGCTCTCATAGACTGACAACAACTGCCATGAAAACGCACAAATATCAATTTGGTGATTCTTACACTAAAAGATTAAACTACCATTGTGGACAAAATTTACATTAATTGGAAATGCAAACTTATGCTGTTATCTCTGGTACTGAAATTGAACAGATCAAAGCACTTGTGCCGATCACATAAATTTCCAGTCTAAGCTTTAATCTCATAACAAAGAGAAGAATAAATAGGCTGGCTATTCTAGATAAACAAAGTATAAAAGATGCCGAAAGAAGAACTGATTCTGTACAGTATGCTAAAGTGTGTTATTAATATTATGATTAATAATTATATATAAAGGGTAAAATACAAACATTGCTATGTAATTGTACAAGAGCCCAGAAATCGAATACTAATCAGCTTAATCAAACGGGAGAGTGATCCATGTATAGTTTGCAGCTGTATATACACATAAAAGAATAAAATTTAGAATTTTATCTTTATAAGAGGAGATACGTTAGCATGATCCATCGATCATAGATATGTGTTACTGCTACATAAATTTAGCTAGATTGGTTTCTCACTTTATACGTTGTTTTAGTCAAATTTTGAATATTATTGCATTAAAAAATAAATAGCCGTAAGAAAATATTTTTAAAATGATATCTTAAATTCATGAAGATTTTGTATATATATATAAAGTCAGAACTCTTTCTCTATATATGGAACTTGAATTGCTATGTAATCGTGATACCATATGCAATTGCAAACCATGGAAGATGCCACACCTTTTTAATTAAACTGATCGACATTTCTCTATACATACCAGAGTTTAAAACAGACAATTGTGTAAGTTTTTGGTGTATATGATATGAGTATGTATGTAAAATCGATTTATTACATTCTCTGCTTCCTTGTGCTGTTCTTTTTTTTTTCTTTTTTTTTTTTTTTTCTTTTTTCTTTACAGTTTTACTGTAGAATCTGTTATTAGTACGCACAGTACATTGTCTTGATGTGGGCTGTTTTGCATACCAGCCAAACATTAGAGATACATATAATTAAATGAAAGAAGCAGAGGACAAGTGTATGCAAAATAAAATGCAGTATAAATGATTGAGTGTATGGCAGGTATGTTAGTTGTGTGATAAAAAGGGAGCACGAATGTGTAAGCATAGAAAAAGAAAAAAAAAAAAACAAAAAAACAAAAAACAAATCTATAGCAAATAATTGTACATAAATGCTGAAGTTCAAATGTATTCCTATTATTATCACTTATGTGTATAAGTCACTGATCGAATCTAAATCGAACGTTACTTGTTTTTTTTATATATATATTATAAATATATATAAAATGGCTGGATCAAGATCTATCTATTCGAACGTCGTGAAAAGTCCACCAACCTGTGCAATCTGTCAGGTGGAATTAGGATTCGGTCCATGGAAGGAAGGAGAAAAAAAAAAAACCATAAATACTGTAACTAAATATGCTTTATTAAATGGGTGTTTATTAAGCATCTTTCTATTTTTCTTGTTAAACTATGTTCTTTGTAATCCTATTTTATGCCGATACATCAAAGAAAGTATTTATTAGAGATTTAACTTGTTCTGGTGTATACTTGATGTATTTTCCTGGATTTTTTGAAAAAGAAACTCCACGATACTTGTTATAGAAAGCAATGTACGAGGGAACGATAGCTTGTTCAAGTTCTTTGCGTATTTCTTCGCGTAAACGTCCATCAGGTACAGAATAAGAGCGTTGACACTTGGCAAGTTCTTCCAATTCCCTTGTAAATCCTAAAAACTTCTCTTTGAGTATTTTAGAACCAGGTTCTGTAAAAAGAAGCAAATTGTAATTTAATCAGATCTATGAAATCAGAGTTATTAATTTATATATTAAATCATGAACCTGGCTCATCGAATGAATGTTCAAGAAAACCTCGAGCCTTAACAAGCGTTGTAGAGACATAATTGGCCTTATCTTTGACAAGTAAATCAATGTAAGTTTGTTCGATGGTTGGTTCTGCTAATAGCAAAAGTTCCATTAGAGAACTGCGGCGTAAAGCATTTACAACATAATTATGATTGTTTAAACGAAAAAGCGCTCGCAATGAAGGATCAGAATACGACGCATCACTTTTGCTGACTAATGCTAAGTTCAATTGTGCTAAAACTTTTTCTGTAATAATGTAAAGTCATTAATTATGTTTAATTGTTTAGTTGTTGCAATTAAAATTAGAATAATACTAACTAATGTAAATGCCAAGTACAATTTTATGCGCATTTTCTGTTTGTTTTGCAGATGATGGAACAACAGATTCCACATCTGCGTTACGTCGAAGAACTGTTCCTGCAGTGTCCGCATATTCAGCTAATTGTTCTAGAAAAACTAAGACGTTGCTTGTACCCTCCGCTACGGTACCATCCTTAGGTAAAATTGCACTAGATTCGTTTCTAACACTTTCTGCAAAATCTTCTAAAGCTTTAGCTCCCTGAAAAATATTCTTATTCGTTAATACAAACAAGGGGAAAGCTCTTGATAGCATATTAAGGATACTTGTAAGATATTTCAACGTACTGTTCCGTTCAATGCATTGAGTACAGAGGCAAATTTAGATCTAAGCGCATAATCACATCCTTCTACTGCCCTCTCTAAGTCTGGCTTAAGTTCTCCAAGATGTTTCAAAATTGGAAAAACCACCAGAACTGCAGAAAAATCACGTCTTGCGATACAACGTTTAGCCCTTGTTGCGATACTTTCTCCATCATGAGCCACAAGATCCATAGCATTGCGTACCGTAGCTTCAAGTACTTGAAGTTGTAAAGAAGGTGGCAGAATTCTACTAACCAACGAACGTTCTGCTTGCATAAGTTTATGAAGACCTGCGGTTAATAGAAGATAATTTTCCATTTCTTGCTCATCCGGTGCTACATCTTCTATTGAATATCCAGATAGTTGTGGCTGTGGTTTCCTTGATGCAGTTAAAGATAGACCAAATCCAGTAGTTTGTGATGCTCTAAATAACATTTTACTTGCTTTCTTTTCAAGTGCATGTTGTAATTTTCGCGATGCCCATCTTCCTGTTGTTTCTTGAGTACCACTCGAATGACGATTAGCAAATTTGGCTTTCTGAAAAGCATTTAAAGATAATTGATAATTATTTTATACAATGTCAGTAGATTTTAAACCATAACTTTATATTAAAGAATTTACCGGCATTGGACTGCCTGCATGTGTGCTTCCTCCGCTTGCACTTCTTTGATGTTCTTTAAGTAACTGTAAAGATCGAAGGACAATACTAGAACGTACAGAAGCATAAATTTTTGCATGTTTATGTTGACCTCTTTCTTCTAACCAACCAGCAATTTTAAGTAAGTCATCCATGACAGCTTCTGGCAATTGACATAATGACTGTGGGGCATCTTCTCCGCTCGTATCCTCGTCAGAACTAATGAGATCCAAAAGAACAATTGGTAATATGGGTTTACTTTGTCTGGTCAAAATATCATGAAATTCTATGTACAAAGCTTCTAATCCAATGGTAAATAAACTCGTAACATTCTCCAATTCCACAGAACTTGGATTATTTTTTTGAAAATATCGTTGAGCATTGTACAAACGATTCATAGCATCAAGAAAATTGCTTAAACCTGCTGAACTGCTAGGTCCATTACGTATTGACTTTTCAACTTCTTGACATACGCCATAATATCCAATAGCATGATCCAATATACTAAGTGTTCTTTCGATATCTATAATAAATATAAATACAAACATTACAGATTAATTATAGACAATGAAGAATATAAATATTTATTATTAATTTGTTCATTTCATACTATGTTGTTGAGACTGTAGATTTCCAGTTTCATTATAAACAGGAAGTATGGTACGCCGTAAAGTAGCCAAACGTTGTTCCAAAGAGGAAAGTATTCCAAGAACACCACTTGTTAGTTTTCGACTTCGTTCTTCTGCTTCCTTTAATGCTTCTAAAGCTGCAATCTCTGATTCCAATTTACATTGTATTTCAAATCTTCGTTCAGAAGTATCATTTAAAGTGGTATGCATTTTGATATTGTTGTTTTTCTAAGATGATCTTGACAGATTATATCGTTGTTGTTGTTGTTGTCGTTGTTATTATTTATAAGCATTCTTCTTGATTAAAAGATAAATGAAACCTCCCATATTAGATATCAGATTCATATTACTGTTTTGCATCAGATCTCCTCTATTTTCAGACGGGATATAAAACACGTCATACTACATTCACGAAACGAAACGTTACTGTCAGCGCCAATGCGTTAATGCGCTAAGTTTTATTAAACGGAATGCACTTTCAGGCATGTTTCAAATGAAACATGCTCTTTCGATTTTCTTCCAACCAAAATCAAAGAAATATTGAATCAATTTTAAGATAGTAGTAACAAGGTGATTGACCTTATCGCTCGTTTACCAAACATTTTGACAAATCAGAAAAAGAGATTTATATAAAATTAATTTGATTGGATAAATTTACAAGACACCTGTTGATTGGTTAATTTTTTCAGTGCGAGTAACATATAAGATCGATTGAAAAATACTAGAGGAACTCGAGAAAGCTCGAATAAGAAAGGAGAAAGGAAAAAGCATTGTTGATAAATAAATGAATTTTTCATAGAGTATTTTTAAAAAACGATCTCTCAATGGAAAGAACAATTTTAATATGTTCCTCGACGTTGAACGTTTCTATAGGACAGTACGGAGTTTCGATTGGACATTCAAAATATCAAGACCAAATGATATAGGAACATTTTGATAACGTAAGTTAGCAAACATAATCATACTAGTCGAAATTGGTCAGGCATGCTCTGTCATACGAAACCTCCTAGGCAAAGGTGGTGCTGCTCGACGAAAGAGGGGGGGAACCGCGGTCACGTGACCGAGCTGCGTTTTGAGCGCACTAACCAGGTACGAGTGAATTCGTTGTTTTTTTCGTGTTTTTTCGCGCGCCGCGGCCGAAAAAGCCGAGGCGTCGTGAATTCCGCTTATTTCTGCCTTTGCACGCGCCCCCAAGGACGCGAACGACCTTCGTAATAACCGTGAGTTACACGCAAATATTTAGACTGAACCTTCTTACGGGCAATCCATCGATGCTTCGATGCGACGATGGTTGACAAGCCTTCCTCGCAGATCCAGAAATGGCGTCTCCCGTGCACATGGTCTACTAAAAGCGTATGACTTCGTTGTCGCCGTTACGGAATTTACAATCTTAATGAAAACGTTTGTGCCCGTCTCTACTACAGTCTTGAGTGAGAGTTCTTCCACAAGCTGCTGCCCCCAAGTCGAGGATGTACCAGACGGAATGTCTTTTGTGCTATTCCTCGTAATCGTTCTCGCATAATCGCCACTTATGTCAAAATCTTTTTCTTCTGGTATTCTTCCGTTAATCGTGATAAATCAGTGTTTCGTAATATTCTTTGAAATTTTCATACTCTTAGTATCATTCGACTTCTCTACAGGATGCCCCATCATCTTAGAGAAGAATCTTAAGGATATTTCTACAATATGATCGTGTTACTGGCCATTTGAACGCACATGTTGATCGTTCCATTGTTCCTTCAAATTTTATTCCTTGATTATATAATATTTTACTCTTTGAGATTTGTTCCAAGATGAATATTATTTGGCTGTCCTAACCTTCTATGGTTTAAGCATTTAACGAATGAATTTATTGCAAATCTTTATTATCCTAATACCTCTAATATTACCTTGCGAAATTGTTTTAATGAAAACTATCATTCGAGTTTTTTCTTTTTCGAATATATACATCCATGATTGAAACTTTAAGTATAGAAGTTGTCTTAGCGATTTATCAGTTTATATTTTTTTAAATTATAGCATGCGAAGCAAGTTTTGTTTTGAAACATTTTTCTATTGCAGTGTGTATATATATATATATATATATATATACACATATATATATATGTATAGATATATATATATATATATATATCTTTGTTAAGTGTTACATTAGATATTATTTTAATTTGTCGTTTATAACATAGACTTATAACTCTTATTTTATTCATGTATACATTACATTTGTATAGTTATAATGAATGTAATTCATTATTATAGAAAATTAATACGTATTGTATCCTATCACAGAATTATAATTTGTTAAATATATTTATTTATTAATTTTTGACATATTTAATAATGGTTTAAAAAAGTATCTATTCTCTACATCTTATATATATTTAAATAATATTATTTAATATCTATATTTATTATGTTATATATCCATTTATTTATTTCTGATTATTATGATGCATTATTTATTAGATAAATTAAAAAGATATTGTTGCTATTTCAAACAATTGTTCTATTCAAATAACGACAATCTATTATTATTAATTTGATAACGTTGAGGGATGTTTTTTCTGAATAATAATTTAGAACATATACAATATGACTGTATAATATCTTTCCTCATATGGGTATTCTGTATATTGTTCTTTTTTGTTACAGATTGTAAATAGAGAGTGTATATAGAGTGATAGGTGAGTGAGAGATAGTGTGTGGAGCTATATTTGGCAATGAGTTCAAGTAATAAAACATCAGTGTCCTCCAGTGGGAGAGGCACTAATAAAAACAAATTATCACAGCAACATGGAAAGTCAGACCATCACCAAACTAAATCATCAGATTCAACAAAACATGATAAAGTGCAGGTTAGTAATAAATGTATTGTTATTTTGATGCTGAAAGTAATTGGCTTGTATCAGTGTTTTTATTTACATGTATAAAAGTATTGTGTATATAGAAAACAAATAATAAAACAAAAAAGGAACAAAATTAAATTTATTATTTAGAAAATTATATTTAAATTAAATATAATGTAAGAAGATGATGATGATAATTAAAAAATTTTATTAAATTATTAATAACAAAACTTTTATTAAAATAAAAACTTTTTAGATTTAATAAGTATTTTGTTTTAAATACCATGGCATTTTTATTCTTTTTTCAGCCAAATACTGTTCAGGTCCGGCATGCACAGATCATTGACACTCGCATGGGAGGGGTTGAAGATCCAGTATTTAAAGAACGGATCAAAGAAGTTATGGATTTAACGTGTCGTTCCGAAGATGAAGTCATTATGGCTTTGCACGATAGCGATGGAGATTTGAATCGTGCAGCCATTGATCTCTTGGAAGGTGTTAAAACAGAATGGGAAGTCAAAAAAAAGAAGCCTCGTCAACCAAGTGGCTCAAAGCAAACTGCTGATCAACCAGGTGGTCAAAATGATGGCGGTGATTGGGAAGAAAGACGTAATCAACGAAGTGGTGGACCACCACGAATGCGAGGTCGTGCGAATCATGACAACCGTGAATGTGAGTTTAAAACAAACACGATAATTGGGACCACATTTTTTTTTTTTTTTTTTCTTTTCTTTTTTTTTTATTATTATTATTATTATTATTATTAGACAATAAATCGACCAATTCTTAAAACAGGAATAGAACATTTATTAAAGATTTCTAAATTATGATTAGGGCGTGGTCGTGAAAATAAAGAAAATGAAAGAAACATGGAAGAGAGTGCTCGAGATGGCAGCTACAGTGGCAGTAGAAGAGGACGAGGAGGTCCTGGTAGATCAGGACGTGGAGGTCGTGGAGGTGGAAGAGGTCTTGGACCACGAACATTTGCGAATCGTAATGATCCTGCTTCAACTTCTTCGACTCATAGTTTCAGTCGACCAATTGACACTTGGGCAGGTAGCGAAGAACAACAACAAAGCATTCAAGAACCAAAAATGGGTAAGCATTTCTAACATATTTTTCTATAATGAAAATTCAATTTAATCATTATTAAAAATCTTAATGCAGAAGCTTGGAACAATTATGAATCAACAGAAGATTGGGATAATGAGGAATATACAGGATCATTAGCAGATACAAAAGTTTTTACACCAAGTACGTCTTTAACTGAACAAGCTCCTGTACATGATGAACCAAAGACTTCAGATTTACAAACGATACAGTCAAATCAGACTGTTAACCTGGGACTATTGCAACAAGAAGTGAGTAAAATTATGATGGGAATATGACATGCAATGCATGTAACGCTTTCAATATTATTTGATAATAATGCTATTTAATTTATTATTCGTAAGGAAATATCAAAATTATCCGAAATACCAACGATACAACAACAAGCATTAATTCCACAACAAGCTCAACAGCAACAAACTGTCCTGAGCTTACCAACAATGCAACTTTCACAACAACCAAATGCTATTAGTGGTGGTGTGTTAACTGCTGCACAAACTCAATATTTGACACAGCTAACTCAACAAACTAGTGAAAATCTAAAAACAGCAGGACAGTCTTCATTTCCATCTTCAATAACAAATCAGGTACTTGACTGGTAAATTAATAATCAATTATTTTTGAAGCTTAAATTAAATAAATATTAACAAATCTATAATATTTAACATTATAGCCCCAAAGACAATCCAAACAACGTCCAAGAGTACCACCTCCGTCTAAAATACCATCTAGTGCGGTAGAAATGCCGGGCGATGCAGTCAACAGTGGCATCGGATTTCTCGATGTTCAGTTTGGCGCACTTGAATTTGGAAGTGATTCAAGCTCGCTTGATGGTTCAGCTAATGAAAAATATAATTCAAGTAATAATACCATCTCTAATGTTGACGTTCCATCTACCACAAATACTGTAAACACAGCTGGGACAAATAGTTCCATTGATATTGAAACTACACAAACTTCCACAACACCATTTAATGCCACTTCTCAAATGGTAAATTAATATATTTGTATTTAATTATTTCTTTAATCATTGCATAATGATTTAAATTTACATTTATATATTTGCATAATTATTTAACTCTTTAATTATATGGCTTTTTTTTTTCTTTTTTTTTTTTTTTTTTTTTTTTTTTAGTTATCGAGCAGTGACAGTTTACCAGTATCAAATGATCATTCGATAAATTCTCAAACTTTTGCGGGACGTGGAACTACTGGTCAAACTTTGGATATAACCAAACAGGATTTCACATCGCAAGTTTCTCCAGGAAATGCAGCTACGTATGGCGCAGCAACGTATCAATCTCAAAAGACATCATTTCAACCATCTAGTGCCACACAAAGCAGTTATAACACATATTCTACAAATACGCAATCAGGACAGTCTTTCCAGACTGTTTCAGTCACAAACGCCAATACGTATTCTGCAACGGCAACAGTTTCACAAACAAGTTATAATTCTTCATCATCATTCCCACAATCGAATTCTTCAAACTTTAGTCAAGCATCTCCTTCTGCATCGACATCTGCAGCTTCTGTTTACAATCAGCCAACTACCACCAATCAGGTAACTTCAATATAATATAGATAATATATTTTTACATATTATATTATATACTAATTTTATATATTGATTATATCAGGTATATCAATCAACGAGTGGTTATGCATCCACAACAACCTCTCAATATCAACCATCTTCTGTAGCTACAAATACTGTATCAAATAGTAATGCTGGATACCAAACAAGTGGTTACCAAGGATCTTCTTCATTTCAATCTACTCCTCAAGCTTATCAACCATCTGCTACTACATTTAGTTCACCTATTACTCAGACAACTGGACCTTATCAAAGTGCAGCACAATCTGTAAGTTTTATCCTTCTAACGAGTTTACAGGCCAAGCTTAAAAGTCAAAGTTATAAATGAGTAAAACTATTAAAATTCACATTGTGCAGGTTTATGCGAGTGCGTATGGAAATTACACAAGTCAACCACAAACTGCATCTCACAACCATAAGCTGAATAGTAGTACAACAAAAGATTCTCAATATGAAAGTAGTACAACGACTTCTAACAATTCTCTTGCTACGACGACGACAACTACATTAGGACTTAGTTCAGCTTCTGTGAATAGTTCTCAAACTAAAGTAACTAGTTCGAATGGTAAGTTATAATATGCTTTGTATAATTATAAATTTGACAATATAATAATTGTTTATACATGAATATTCTTCTTTTTTATCAGCTGTACCAAAAAGTACATCGAGCGGCGTTGTAACGGGTAGTAGTGGTACTGGCAATATAACAGGAGGAGGAGCAGCAGGCAGTATGGCACCGATGCTTAGTCACCAGTACATTATGGGTCAGGGAGTGCCATATACATTTCAGCAACCAATGTACAGCTACGAAGACTTACAACTTATGCAACAAAGAATACCACATATGGTCAGTTATTGCCTGATTTATTAACTTGCCTTACATGAACATCCGTGCAATTCATTCAAGTATATATATATATATATATATATATATATATATATATATATATATATATTCCTATATAAAGCTAACGTCTTTACTTGAATGAATTGAATTGCTTTTTTAGAGTAATGTACATTGATGCAGCACACGTTCCTTTTATCAGTTTTTATCTTCACCAACATGAGTTATGAATCATTTTTGAAAGAAGACAATATTGACACATGCATTATGACAATTTTAAGTTAGGGTGCTCTTAATCACGTTCTATATCATGTTATCACTCTTTACTTTATTTACAGAATGCCAACTCAATCATTTATTAAATGCTTGGTAGTTGCTCGCAATTCAATCACTATGTTGATGAAATTCTTAGTGTTGAATTTTTAAATATTTTAAATTTAATATCCTATTCTGGAAGAGCATCATCTCGCATATAAGACAAGCAGTACTTTATTGAGATCACCTCTACTCCTTTAAATTTTTATTCGGTAGCATACTTAAGAAAGTCGTCTACGATCAATTGAAAAAGGTATAAAAGGTATAATAAAAAGTGCAAAATTATATTATTCGGAGCATAGTTAGTTATGCTTAAAAGAGAAAAAAGAAAAGTGATCTTGATCGCAGACATGGCATAGCTTAATTATCTTTATTTTTTTTTCTTTTTCTTTTTCTTTTTTTTTTTTTTTTTTTTTTTTTTGTTCACTTCTAACTAATTTCATTTGCTCAGTATCTGATGTCATGTATTTCGAACTGTATGAAAATAGACATCATAATCCCAGCAAGTGGGCATTGTACTTTGTTTCATAGTTATGATCAGGCACTTAATTTAAATTATAATAAGAAATACTTACTTGAAGTAAGTTAAACTATGAAACATGGTCACAATTTACCGTACATTATCCATCCTTTTCCAGTACATGTAGATCTTAGAACTTAGTTAGCGTCCTTGTATTTGAAGTACACAGTGTATGCATGTAGTTTTGTGTTTGGCCTCCCTGACTAACCTGCAGCCAACTACTGGTTACTATGACGCGGCTCTGGGCTATCAGACGACTGGACCAGCAACCAGTCTTGGTGGGGCACGAGGTGATGCGTTGTCTGGTGTACAAGGTGTTCAAGGAGTGCAAGGTGTCCAAGGAGCTTATACCAGTATTAGCGACGCTAGGTTTGCCAGAAATGATAGTAATGCGTCACCGGTTCCTTCCACTATGTCGCAACAGGTAAGATTTAAATACCTATTTAATAGTGTATTTAATAGTATTTTTGCAACAGCTTGATTTAATTGTGATACTTTTATTAATGAACTTGCATCTTCGGACAACAAGGCGGTATTTCTGTACTTACAATATTTGCAGACTGCTACACAGCATCAACAACCTATGATGAATCCAACACTTCCTCCAGGTTACGCATATTTCACATATAGCGGAGGCATAATGCCAGGAGGTTTTCAATATGGAACTCCTGCTATTTATCCCGTAAGATTCTTTGAATGATGTATATTATAATTGACTTTATTTAAAATATTATTAATATAATTTACCATAGCAGATAGCAACTGCTGGAAACGCTGGTACAAATAGCGGAGCGTACAGCGCTAAACCAGGAAGTTATGGATCTGGTTATGGCGGTGGTGCAAGTTACGATGCTTTAGCATCCGCAGGGCCATCCGGAGAGTATAAAGCTGCTGGGAGTAATTATACTGGTACACAGGCGGGCAAAACTGGTACTTCTACAGGAAATACCAATACTGGTGGATCATCTGCGACTGATATTAGTGCAACGATGTATGCAAAGAGTCACGTAGCACTTAGCAAAGTAAATGTAAGTAATAATGTTGACTCTTAATTATGATATAAATAAATAATATTCAGGAGTTAATCCTTTTTCTGTGTACGTGCGCGTGTGTACGTGTGATATTGATCTGATAGTATAAAAATAATATTTTATAAAATAACAACAAACAAATTACAGTCATATGAAAAACAAGCTTTCCATTCTGCGACTCCACCGCCATTTGGTATTACTGGTAGCCAAAATGCAGGATTGCCTGGAGGATACGGCACGCCGCACTTATTTATACCAACGATGCCTCATCAATTACATCAACCACTTCATCAGGATGGTACCAATAGCACAGGTCAAAGGTCCAATACAAGTTCACAAAATAAAGCTCAAGCTAAGCCTGGTTACAGTCCTAGCTATTGGGCTGGAAGCAATTAAAATATCTTTGAACGGGATAAAGAAGAAAGGAGCAATGTAACAACCGTTTTAGAAAAATAAACATTCGCCATTGTGAGATATGGTGGTGTAAAACATGGACGTTGATATAAAGGGTTTACACGATACATGAGAATAAGGACAAAAGATTTTTTTTTTTTTTTTCATCAGGTTATACATTTTGGCTATAAATCAGTATGGACTAAAGAGTGGGTCTTAATCGTTGGAAGGATTAAACAATATTTGTTGTTTCTCTTACGAGAAAAGAATCTTAGCTGTTTTTTAAGATTATTCTATCAAAGTCAACTTCCCTTAAAAGTGATTCTCATACTGAATATTAATTTCAGTTCTTTATTTCAAAATCGTGACGTTCCAAATATTAACAATGATTATTTTGTTATATTATCTTGATTTTGTGTTTCATATAATGAAATGTGTAAGAGGGAAGTTTTTGTTTCGTCTACTACTAGTACATCTTATGCTTGAAAAGCATATATTGATATGTTATATGATGTTTTTGAAGTTAAACAATGTTTATTATAAAAGCAAATGAATTGTATAATTCTTCCTAACGGAAGTTGCACTCGTGCCAAATAGACTGGTAGCGTGAGTGATAATTTCGAGAACTTGTCTGGTTACTTGTCTTTATCACGAACGCAGGATAAAAGCGCGAGCAGGCTTCGTGTGGTTTGTACCACTAGTAAACCTACTACTGAGTGTGTGAATAGCGTAGCGCTTGTGTGAAAGAAAAAGAAAAACCATAAAAGCTAACGGCTGCTGTATCAGCTCCTGTATATGCTTCAGTACACTACAGTGCAATTGCGAATATACCGCATCGACTGCAAAAAGTGATAGTTTTTTGTAAAATGTAGGCATTTTGGCTAACATCTAACGTGCTCCTTTACACGAAGAAAAAAAAAGAAAAGAAAACAAGAAAAAAAGAAAAAAAACACAAAGCACCCTTTCATGAAATAATGTAAAGATGTGTTTCTGTAAATTGCAGTGTTTGTATGTATCAAGAAAATTTTAAGTACATAAACATTTATGATTATAATATTTTCACTTTTTGGTACATGAAATATAAGCAGGGATTATATCAGAGCAATTATTTGTACCTATACAGAGTGTTCTGTTCACTTGGATCGCTAATTCGAGTGATTAAAATAGGTGAACATTACTTTTTGTTATAAGGTATAGAACAAAAGTTCCCGAACCAAAAAGGTAATCTCTTATGATTATATTATCTGAAATAATTGTATAAAATTATTTTATATTTATAAAAAATCAAATTAAGAAATTTTAGATATGCCTGTACAAGTATCAAGGGATATTAGGAAATATCAACAAATTTCTTATTGTATCTTTAATCAAATCGAAATGCAGCCCTGTTTCCTTCTGATCGTAGAAACTCTATTAAGATTTCTTTCTAGAGAGTTAAAACGATAATTATTCATAATAATATTGCTTATATCCTTTAAACGTGATCGTTACATGAAATTCGATGATCGTTATGTTTCTTCATTGATTTATCATCCACAAAGTAATAATGAAGAAGATTTAATATTCAGCACAAATAACTCTTTATTTACATATTACTATTATATTTGGCAAGATTTTGCGATTATTTTATAAGCATATAAAAAAAATAAAAAAGCATATAAAAAGGTAAAAAAAAAAATTAAAAAAAAAAAAAAAATATGATTCGTTTTGTAAACATATTATAGAAATTTTAACTCGTAAAAAGTTAAAACAACTTTAAAATGCATTATATCATTAAATCATTATTTAATAGAGCTCTTTAATTATAAGGAAGAAAATTTATACGATTTCTTATTATACATATTTATATTGCAAACCATTCTCTAAATTTTCAATTTAGCACGTTGTGAACGATTGTGAAAGATCGTTAATTGAAAAATCTATTGTTTATATCTCGTTCGCACATTTTATTTGGAATTGTAGGTCTGATAATATTATCGGATAAACAGAATAAAAGGCAATTTTTGCATTTCAATTGATAAGAAGGAAGCACGTCACGCAATTATAGTTATTTAGTATACGATATACTTAGATTCACCCGATATTACGTGCTGAAGTAATTGACTAGAACAAATCTATGATAATTTGTCGTCTTTCACCGACAAAGGAAAGTAGATACTTCAATGTATTTTTAGTCATATAACCAGTCTGCCAGTCTATCTATTTGATACGAAGAAAGAGAACCGATCATCTGTTTGTTCCAAGAGTATCGATCATATTTCAAATTACGCGAGTTGAGAGATCACGTGAACGATCTTTAAAAGGAGGGAAATTTGAAAGAGAAATTATTTGGTGACCAATGCACGCTTTAGAAGTTATAGTTTACATCTTTGCATTATGAAATAGAAAATCATTGCCAATATTCTTCCCATGAAAATGAACGATGCTATTTATGCATGTAGAACGTTCCACATGTGGTGCTGTGAGAATTTTTACGATTTGTGCGTGGTTATCATGTACCATAAGTGGGATATAAATTCTCTTTTACTATTAACAAAAAGAAAAAAAAGATGAAAGATAAAAAAACGGTTGTCAAAGCTTTATTAAGTACCGCTGACATAAACGAGAAACAAATAGTTGTAAGTAAACTTTCTCTCTCTCTCTCTCTCTCTCTCTATCTCTCTCTCTCTCTTTCTCTCTCTCTCCCTCTCTCTCTCTCTCTCTCTCTCTCTCTGTCTCTCTCATTTTCTATCTTTTCCTCTCTCGTTAGCCGTCACAAGCGGTAATATACATAAGCGGTATGAATAGGATATGTTTGAGGATATTGGAAGACCAAATGTAGGCTAGCTTCCTTGCTCTCAAAAATATACCATTTGTACTGAGAAATTTTGAGAAAAAAAAAATGTAGACGATTCAATTTCACAAGAATCCTCCGAGAAATGATAAACAACGCCACTGGTTATAGGTACACATTAAGAACGTTAAGAAAAGGGGGACGTTGATCACGTGTTCGTTGTTCTTTGTATATTGTTCAGCGGACACTACAAAGAAAGCATTTGCAGTAATGAGAGAAAAAAAAAAGCGGGAAAATGTTTATGTTCTTGTTTTATCTTAGCATAGGCTTTAGTTATTTCAAACTTTTTTTCTGTACACATGGATATACTTAGGAAGAAATACGATAAATGTGATTATAATGAAAAATGAAAAAAAAAAAAAAAGAAAATGGATATTGTTATGGTAAAGATTGAAAAGAAGCCACTAAACGAAATGATTAAAGGGAAAAATGAAAAAGGAAAAAAAAAAACAAGGATAAACTTCAGAGTAAGCACGTTTGTTCTCGTAATAATTATTATACAATTCATAATTTTTGTATTTTTGTCAAATATTAACCGATCGACCGAGAATGCAAAATGCATTACGCCACTACTGCTAACTATTATATAATTATTAAAAATAATAATAGCTACTACTGTGTATAAATATGAATATATAAGAATAAATGTATTAAAGAAATCTTGTAATTCAAGTACCTGCTGTGCTTGGAAGACATTTTGAACTTTATAATTTTATCAGTACTAAGTACGTAGTATTTTGTGCATTCTTTACGATTTATAAATACATATACATATTAAGGAACACACCCTAACGGCATCGGATTATTAATAGCCTCACTAATGGAGAACTTGTAAAATTCTGTGAGCATATTAATATATTTATCCTTTAATAATAGTAATTGAGCAGTACACCTCTGTGTAAACAATTATTCCTGTTATTATTCGATCATGCAATTAAAAGGATATATAAATGACCATGTTTCGCAGCAGTCGAGAATAAAAGCTATAACGGACTGTTGCAATACTGTCTCTAACGTTTGTTTTTTTTATAAGATCCCCAACAGATGTTTAAATTTTTTAAAACCAATACCATTCTTTTCTTTTTTTTTTGTTTTATGTTTTTTTTGTTTTTTGTTTTTTTTTTTTTGCTTTTCTTTTTTTGTTTTTTTTTTCCTAATTAATTCTAACCGATTATAGAAACAAACGGGATCGTTCTATAGAGGATCAAAATGTTTTTATTTCGAATTTGAATGATTACAAATTTTATACATGGCTTTTTAATCGCTTTTAAAAATTGCATAATAATTACAGATGACAGTACTTTTGTCAATTGAGTTGGTAAACGTAATTGAAGATGGTCGAAAACGAATGATAAATGTCATTCTAATTTGTTAAAAGATACTATTATATCCGAAAAACTTTTATATTGTTTTTAATTAAAATTCTTGGAAAGATTGCTTTCTATAGCCGTTTTTATGGCCTTTTATAAATGTTTGTGTTTTAATTATAATTGTAAGAAAATCGAATACAAATACAATATCAATGATATAATATATAACCTCAATGGCGAGGTTTCTGGCTAAGTAAGTGCGTAATTAAACATCCTTGAGGAGTGTCATTATTCTTCAGTCTTCTTCGTTAGTAATATGTGCCGAAATACAAATAGTTTATAAACATTCTATTTCAACAAACAAAATGTCTAGTACGTGGTATCAACAAGTGTTTGCCCTAGATGCCAAATATAATGCACAACGTGCAAATAAATTGCCTACATTAGGTGGGTAATACTCCTAAGTTCTTTGAATAAATTATTTAATTGTATGTATCATAATGTTATTTTTTTCTTTTTTTTTCATAATTATAGGCATGCTTTATATTCGTAGACGAAATCAATTATTGAGAGAAAAACCATTTAAAGAGCACGATATTCGTACACAGTACTTGAAATTACGTTCAGACTTATTATATAAACGATATGGAGAGAATATTGATCAAAATAACATTATGAACAATTCTTTACAAGAAGAAACTTCAGAGAATGTACCAAAATCTCATTTTGTTCAAAAGAAATCAACAGCAGAGAATTTTGCTTTTGCTGGAGTTCATCACGCTTTCGATCAACATACTGCAGCTGTAATAATGCTTAAATTTGCCAATAATGATAGATCCAGATTAGGATGTGCATCTTTAGATGGAACTCTATCGATATGCGAAGTTGTTAACACACCACCACAAGTATTTGCTGTACTTGAAGGTCATCAGAAAGGAGTTACAGCTTTTGATTGGAGTATCAGCAATGATTTGATAGTATCATCTTCTCTGGATGCTACTATTCGTCTTTGGAAAGTACATGCAGAACCTAAGTGTTTACGAGTTGTTAAAGATCCACAAAACGCGGAAATTTTTTGTTGTGCATTTATACCAGCTAATAACAATTTAGTAGTTACTGGTAATTCACACGGGTTGATTCAAATTTTAAATGTATCAACAGGAATCTATACACGTGGTGGTTCATGCAAACTTGGGGAAAAGGTATATCATTATAATCTTTTATTTTTGATTATTTGAACGTTAATATATTAATTATTTTTATTTAAGATTTTATCATTAACTTGTGAAGAAAGTGGTGGCTCATTGATATGGGCAGGAAGCGATAGAGGTACTATTACTTCATTACAATTAGAGGCTAGGACAGGAAGGCTCTCAAAATTGCAAAGAGTTCAGAAATTAAATAGTATGGTAACTAGTCTCTCTTGGCGTTCTTGGCATTCGAAAGAAATACCATGGCCAGTCTTTTTAGCAAGTACTGCTTGCAATGCAGTATTATTGTATCGCGTTGCTGATAATCAAGGTTCTCTGAAATTATTGAAAAAATATCCTATTAAACACAGGTATTCTACTCAAGTAATTTTTTCTTTTGTCAATATTACAATATTAATTATTGCATATTAATGATTGCAGACTTCATTGTATAAGATCTACATTTTGTCCCCAAATGGGAGCTTGTTTAATAGCAACTGGTTCAGAAGATGGTGCAATTCATCTTTTTGATTCTTCCAAAGATGGTAAAGCTGCAAGAGTAAATCTACTTCATGGTCATGCAAGACCTGTACTTGCTCTTTCGTTTAATTATGACGAATCATTTCTCGCTTCTGGAGATCATCAAGGACTTGTTATTTTATGGCGCAATCACCAACGCCATTTGTAGTCATTATTCACTTAATTAATTAATTTTGATTTCTGTTTAATTATTAATACATTACAATATAAAACTGATAGGAGAAAGAGCAATTTATTGCTTGCTAAATAAGTATTAATAATTATATATATATATATATTACGGATGTATATATATATATAATTATTAATACATATATATATATATATATATATATATATATATATATATATGTGTATATGTATATGTCTCAAAAATATGTACAGTATTTGATTAAAAGTACAACTAACTCAAACAGTGAAAAACTTAGAGTAGTAGATAATTTATTTTTAAACATTGTAATTATATACAAAAGAAAATAAGCAAGGATGACAGGATCCTTCAAAATGTTTTTCACCTAAAATAGTTTACTATTAATTTACACTTTATGCAATACTTTTCTGAGATTCGTTACAAAATTGATCGAAATACAACTATATATCTCGTTCTCATCACAGATCTATTAATAATACATAGAGATTAACACTATCACGTGGTTTTGTATAAACTGATTTGTCAAATATAATAATATTTTGCCGTTGCTAAAAATAAGCGTTAAGTCATGGTATAATTCTTTTTGCAATGCTGTGATGCTTAAAAAGAAATACTTTACCCTAGAAATAATAATATCAAGAAAAACATAAAAGTGACGATAGATAAATGAGCATTGATTGTGATTGACTGGGTAAAGTGTAGTGAAATTTTCATTAGGCTGCTATTGTTGGTAAAGATTATCGTCCATTAGTTGATTAATTGTATGTTCAAATATAATTTTTATCATTTATATTATTTAAAGATGATTGATATTAAATCATGTATTAGCAAAATATTGGCAACACAAGATTTATATCACATCAATTAATCAACTATTAGACTATCATCTAAATATATAAATATTTACATGTATTACAAAGTTACTTATGATCTGAATTCTGTCATAGCATAAACAAATCTGTCGCTGATATGAAATACTGTGGATATAAAGCCAGTAATATTAATTCGCGCAACACATTTGATATTATGCTACAGCACCTTATAAACATATTATAACACATTTTCTCTTTGTACATTATATGCATGCAATCATGCAACTACATATGTTGATAAATTCTAACAAAATTTTATATTTCTTTCTAATAACAAACTATGTTCAGCAATTTGTTAACTACACATGATCATTATTGCACAAAATCTTGAATTTAAATGTTAATTCCATTATATAACACTCGCTTAAGTATGCAAATGATTTATGTATACTGTACATAAGCACTGAATAGCCCTTTTTTTGACTATCATTGTTACTCGATAATATTATAATTTTTCCTATTGAAATTTAAAGCCTGTAATGTCAAGACTGAAACAAATAGAAATGATACTTATAAAATAGGCACAAAATTCCTCGATGAATGAAAGGCTAAAGAGCTGTCCATTACTCAAATGTTACAGTACTTTGAGTTTTACTGTATCATTTGGCAGACTTTTATAGTCACAGTATCGATTACTTGCAACTATATTTCGTTTCTTTCTTTTTTTTTTTAAGTATCCTATATCCGAATCAATCCGAAAGCCGATCGGTGTATACTGTACATTGCTTTTGTTACATTTACATTTTAATACTAATTTTTATATATACAGTCATAAAATATCGATATTGCGACAATATCAATCTCGTCGGCACCAATTGCACCACTGCACTTCCACAATGAATTGTTTCGGACGGACTTCAATTAAACTGATTTCCTCAAAATATCATTGTGCACTATAAATTGCTTCAGTCAAGCGTTAGAACGCTACATTATTAGCAGACTCAATTTTCTTTTCATTGTCATTTTGATAAATTTTTGGCGAAATTGGATCATTATCTATTTCACATTGAAAATCCTCCTGAGGCACCTTTGGCGAAGTATTGTCATCTACCAAATTTGACAAATTACATTGGTCTTCCGTTACTTTCATATTTTCCAGCAAATCTAACGTATGCGCTTTTTCAGTTCTTAATAGATCTTCCTTATCTTCATATACTTGTTTTAGAGGAACAAAAGTCGTATCTACTGCATTATTTCCTGCTAATAAATTTAATTTTAGGCGGTCTCTGGTATGCCTTAATTCTCCTAGTTGATATTGTTTAAAATGTTCATGCTCATTTGTCTGGCTATTAGTACTTTCTTCTTCCTGATTGCAGTCTACTTCGTCTTGTTCTTCTTCATTTACTGATGCGGAACAAGCGCCAGGAAAGAATTGACTAACATATTTACTATCGCTGGTTGGAAATTGAAACGGACGATTTGAACTACTCACATAAAATTCTTCATTTCCTATAAAGAGAGAAATTTATAAATTCATAAAATTTTTGTACACAACTAATGTAATAATTCATTTCATCCATACCAGCTCGATTTATATCCTCGTAATCCAAGGGATACATGTCTAATCTTGGCTCATTCATTAGTTCTTCCCAATCTGTACAATAATTACATTGTTTCGATGGATTGGAAAATATTTAAATATCTTAATCTTTATTTATATTGATTTTATCTTCTAATATAAAATAAAAAGATTTACCTGTATACGAAGTTGGTTCCCATGTAGTGGTAGCTTGACCTTGGATGTCATTAGCTAATGTTTCTTTTGGATACTCATATACACAATGATAGCGTTGCTTCTTGAACCATACACTCTTCTTTTGATCCTAAATAATTTATATTATTGGTAAAGTTGTAGAAAAAAAGTTATTAAATTACATCTACATTTAGTATAAGTCTAGCATGTGTAGCAAATAAGTATATGCGCTAAATACCTCAAATTAAATCTGCAAGAGAAAGGGTCACGAGAAGGAGATTAAAAGACATGCTTTGTTCTGTGTTTAAATGATTGACACACCTACCAATTCGTCCTAGCAGCAGATGTAAGAAAGAAGAATAATATTTCGTGTAAAATAGTATCTATGACTAGCGTTTATTTACGCAATTAATTTTGACAATGTGTAAAACTTACTCCGCTCTTTAATGTTTTATCTGGAGACCTTAACGCAGACCTATGTGGTGCTAATGTTGCATTCCAAGCCGATGGTGTGAATTCTTCTTCTTCTTCATCTTCTGCGTCAACTTCTTCTCTCAAGTCAGCCTGTTCTACTTCTACTTTTTCATTGCTCAAAGTACTTTTGATTTGTATTTGTTCCGTATGAGGCTCACTGTATCGCTATAACAATTCAAATCGTATTGACATAAATTATACATTCTTAACTAGACTATATAATTTTTACATTAAGATATATATATATATATATATATATATATATATATATATATATATTGGAAAAAAAGGTACAAACTTTCCAAACAAATTCACCCGAACTAGAACTGTTATCTTCATCTTCCCCCTCTTCATCTCCTACTTCATCGTCGTCTTGACTATCCCAATCACGTTCTGTAGCAAAACTTGTAGACATTAAATCATCTTGTAAAGGTAATGGTAAAGGTAATGGAAAAGAGGAAGGTAATTGTTGCCATTTGGTTTCTTCTTCAGGACTTGGTAATGGTGCTCCTCCAGTAGCTATCATACCATGAGGTTTGTCCTCTGAAGTGTATATCGATGATGAACTATATTCAACATTTTCTTCTTCAGAAATATCTCCATTTGTTGTATCTCGATCATCATCTTGCAGTTGCTTTTCTCTTGATCCCTCTAATAATATCATTTTATTTGTTCTAGTATCAACTAATAATACATCTTCAGATGGTACTGATTCTTTAGATACAATGGACGCGTCTCTTGAATTTGATAGCAAAGACTCAGAAGTAACAGTACTTTCTCGTTCTTCTAAAATGGGACTGAGTGGTGTTCCATAAAGATTATACCTATATAGAATATATTGTAAACGTATAAATCTTATATTTATTAATAATAATCAATACAAATATATTCTATTTACCTGATAGAAATATCTACACTACTAGTGTTCCGATCTGGTGATTCTTCATTCTCATCATCGTCCCAACGTTTGTTCTCAATATCGCTGGATATAGGGGAGATCTCTTCATCGCGAGGTTCGGACGGTTCCACGACGGGCATCTGTGCACGTGGAAGTTTTTCTCTAAGCTCGTTTCTAATAGCTGTAACAAATTCTTCTTCCATACCAAATGATACATAGGAGTTATCACTGCATAAGCTCATTGTAGAACTATCTTCCTCTTCATTTTCATGCCCATTATCATCTTGTATATAATTTTCTGTATCTGCATGGGTTATTTTTCCATCAAAGGAAGAAATCTTGCTCTCTTTGGAATTTTCTGTTATATAAGTATTTGTATCATCACAGTAATTACTAGATGACGCCACAAAATCTCCATTTTGCATATTACTTGTCAGTTTTATATTTTCATCTTCCATTCGATCATTCTTATTTAAATATTGTGTCTCAACTTCTTCATCTTGTTCTACATATGTATTTGTAGTAATTTCGTTTGATAAAATATTGCTGGTATTTTGAACCTTGATATCTTGTATATTTGGATTGTCATATTCTGCTTTACCGTTTGTATTATTCGTCACTAAAGAGTTATCAGATTCAGGAAGTATCGAGCAGTAATATTCGGCATCCAAAATAGTATCAAGTTCTAATAAAACCTGTAACTGTTCATCTTCGGTACATGTAGCCACATGTGTAACAGACGTGTCACGAGAGCTCGTTTGATCACAAGGTGGACACATACTTTCCTCTTCTTCACAGGATTCTTTGTCTCTAAAGCCAGAATCTGAACTTTGCTCATCGTCAGGAGTAGATAAATGTTTTCTTTCTTCATATTCGTTTATCAAAACTTTTCGAACGATTCCTATATCTTCAGTATTTGACAAATCATTAAGATTGTACACAGAAGTTTCTTTATCAAATTGTTCACTATTATCTGTAACATTGGCAGATGTAGAAAGTTCCAAAGTAGTATTGTTCTCTTGATTTATAGAAGGTTCTATAAATTCTTTAAATTCACCTTCATCTGAAAATCCTGGTATCTTATGTTCCAAAGCCGAGTCAAGTGCATGATTCCAAAGAAGAACATCT